GCATCTGTTGTTGATAACAGTGCAAGCACAACTCAATTGCTAAAGAACCCAGACTTTGAAAGTTCAACAACAACACTAACAGATTGGGTTCAATATTGTACGAGCATGTGTGGTTCTGGCTCGACTCCTGGAACGATTAGTACTGGTTCAAATTGCTATTTATCAACTGGCAATTGCTATGCCGACAACTGCTACGCTAGTGCAGGTATTGACTTTCTCAGTCAAACATTTACAACAACAGTCGGGCATACTTACACAGTTTCATTTCGTTTGGTATTAGGTGGCTCAGGCACCACTACTGGTAATAGATTTTATGCTGATGTTGTCTCAATATGATATTGTTTCCTCTGCACAGCACGAAATGAAACGAACAGAAAACTTTCAACGCATGAAAAATTCTATTTTGTATGAATTATCTTATCATTGTGTTCTTGAATAAATCTTCCATAACTGATTGATAATCTTCTACTCCATAATATCGCAATATGCTTTTAAATTTCAGAGATGTAATACCTATGAACTGCCTATGCTTATTAGAAAAAATATAAACATGTATCGAAAACCAGATCTTCGAATTCCAAATCAACATTCGATTCACGATAAAGTTCAAGTCTCTAACTAGTTGAGACTCTAATTGAAAACGGCAAAGACTGGTTCTCGATTCTATTGATTTCATCTTGAATAGATTGTGATAACTTGTATCTAGTTCATTAAACTTTAGTCCAGCACGTAGGATTTATGCAAAAATTGAAGTATAAAAACATTGAAATGAGGCCAATACAAAACAAGTCGAAACTTATAAGATTTTACCATCATTATCATTTGTTTTCAGATCGATCAACATGCCATTTCATATCTTACAAATGATATACTTTCAAAGAACTTCTATGAATAATATGACCAAATCCTATATTACATCAATATAACCTATCCTAGTATTATTTTGATACAGATGACTTCATTTTTGTTATCTAGATTATCATAACAGGCTATGTAACATATGTTATCAAATATATTTTACTCATGCCTATTTCTCTTGTGCAAAACTTTACAAAGTGACCTTTCGAAAAACAAAACATTAGATCAATTTTGAATAGTTTGATTTCAAAGTTGAAGCCCGTTCAGTCAAATGAAAATAACATCAGATTTATCAGCATCGTATTTTTGATCATTCATCGCCACTGAATTTCATCTTGCCTACATCGATTCGATAAATTAAATACAGTCTTTATTCACATTTCTGAATTAGAGAGTATGGATGTAGGATGACATAGTTGTGCCTGACGAACCTCTCAACATCTACATCTGGCTGAATTGAATTGAATCGTTGCACATAACAACAAAATCGATTATCAACACACAAGAGCAAGAATCATGTTTAAACTACAGCAGTTATTTATTAAGCATTGAATAGGCTTCCTGTTTACCTTCATTTCTTTTTTGTCTCCACAAGTTTTCGTGCTCACAATTTCAGTTCCTTATGCCAATGTATGAAGACCGGCATAAGTGTAATACAATTAATTTTTCTTCTCAAGCAATCAAGAAATCGATCTCCTTTATTATCAACATAGTTCAACGTAAAATAATATTTAATTAAGGGTAGCTACCGTTTAAAATTATTGGTGAATTAATCGCGATTTATCATAATTATCGTTAAAAATATCACAAAAAAAACGGCAATTATTCGTGTTTCAGCTCATGATTATCGTTTCGATATATCGCGATTAATCGCCAATTTTTTAGCGATTTTGAGGACATGGACAATTAAAATATGCTCTCCTTCGTAGATTGTAGAGTTTTTCACACTGAATCTTGTCGTATATTCTGTGTTTTTAATAAAATATCTTTAGATATTAGAATACATAATGCAAAGTGTGACCAGTTTTATTATGAGTCGCCTGTTAAAGACGAAATCACAGCCAAAAGGAAAAAAAAAAAAGAATTCATCAGAAATTGAAACAAGCTAACAAGGATTTTCGAACAAAATTCAGCAAAAACTCAAAATAAACAATCATGTTCGCTTTTTTTTTTATTCTATAATTTCGTATGTCTATCGTATGAATATTTCGTGTAAAAAAAAAGGGAACAAAAATCATCAGTAGAACTAAAAAGTAAAATAAATTTTTTCGAAAAAAAAAAAAAAGCTTTTCGAATACAATCTTATAAAGTCTCAAATGAGAACTTCATGCAT